ACAAGATGGTGAGAAAGGGGGGGGGGGGGGGGTTTGTTCTATTGACCCTGCTGACCACTAGGGACTTCCCTCACTTTGTAGGGATTTCCACTTGCTTCCTGCTGTGGCTGTTGTACAGGAAGTGAAGGAAAATCTTCCCAATGAGACACGGATGGAAAGTGTTGAAAGGGTTTATATCCCGCCCTTACTCTACCCAAAACTTAAAATAACATAGTTTGGGCTTCAATTCTACTTGAAAGTGAACCTGTGGGCAGGCTGTGGACCTTCACGGATTTACAAGTTTTTAACAAGCCGGAAATGAGCTTTAAAACAAGCCCTTGCCGACCTCTGTGGCTGCAGACGTGGTGGAGTAATTCGTCCACAAAGTCACAGCAAATGCATTGAACTCATCCAAGTCCACATCCACAGCTTTTACTCTGTGATAACATTAGAGACTTGAAGGCTGGAATGCAGATCAGGGCAGGATGCGTGGCGCTGACAAAGACTTCTGTACTTGTGGATGGATTGCTCTACTGTGCCTGCAGCTATATAGATCGGCAAGGGTTTGTATTTTTTTAAAGCTCATTTACTGCTCAATAAGAATATGGAAGTACTTGAATATTCAAAGCCTAAACCACACGTTCCCTTTTATTAATGTGCTGCCAACGTGTCAGGCTTTTAGCTAGAGATATTAAGAAATAAACCTATTAGATGGTTTCTGATTTTACTATACCCGCCATAGCAGCCTGAGAGCTTCGTGAAGATAACTGTATGGGCCAGTTTACTTTAGAAAGCACCTCATTTGATTTGCTTTACTTCTGTGAAAAGAATGTGCCGATTCCTTGATTACTAATTAGAAGTCAAGCAGCACAATTTGTCATCCACATCGCCCCGGCTTGTACATCTATTATATCTTTGTGCTCACTAAGCCTGTTTATGCCGTGCCAGGTTATCCAGACTGCTTTGTTAATTATGCTAATTCCTGCTAATTGACTTTAATATTTTTTGGAGTCTGTTGACCATAGACCCCTTTTTTTTTTGTTGCTGTGAGTTATGACTTTTGCTTTTATTGGGTCTCTGCTTTCTTGTTGCAATTACTGGTAATTAACAATGATAATTAGTAAAATGTCTTGTAATGCTATAAAGACGATTTTTATGAATCTAGAAGAAAAAAAACATTCCCTCGTTAGCCACTTGATTTCATGTCTAGTGAGCCAGAGGTCCTCTGTTATGACGATTTTTACTTTTATTTAAATCCTGGATAGCTTACAGCGTAATAGAAAATATTTAATATAATCAATTTTCAGTATGTTTGGAGAACTTTAGTCTAATGAAGGGCAGGTTATGGTTGTAAATAGGGATGCAGAAGTGAATCAGGGGTGGACAAATCAATTTGGAATTTAGGAGTCAGTCGGAAAACCTCACAAGTTAGGTGCCCCAACTCCTGAATTCCAAATTAATTTGTACACCCCTGATTCAGGGCCCATTCACACCACATCCAGATCATCACCAGACCAGATTGTTTCCGGATCCAAAATGCATCCTAATGTATCCCTATGCTATTTCTGGCCTCTGTTCACACCAGTGCAGTCTGGTCCAGACCAGAAAAATACCACAGGTCTCGTTTTTTCTGGTCTGGAATGCACTGGAACTGCGGGCAGTTTCACACCATTTTCCGGACCAGACCTGATCCGGGAAATGGTGTGAACCTGCCCTTATAGAATGGTGCATGCTGTATTCTTTTTAACTCTGCAGGGATCAAGCTTTGAATGTTTGTTTATTTTTTAAGGTCTGTCACATGAGCAGAACACGGAGAAAATGAGACTTCTAACACTCATGGGAATGGCTGTGGAGAACAAGGAAATCTCCTTTGATACCATTCAGCAGGAGCTGCAGATCGGGGCAGACGATGTGGAAGCCTTTGTAATCGATGGCAAGTTATTCTCTTCTGATTTTTATGCATTTAGAGAAAAGAAAATTCCCTCATTAGCCATTTGATTTTTGTTTTTCCTCTAGTGATCCAGAAGTCCTCTGTTATGATTTTTAAATCCTGGAGAGCTTAATTTTCATGCTTTCCATTGAGCACAGGACACATATGAACATGTCATGTAGTAGACTGCCGTACTGCTCAAACATGATTCACACTCGGTTGGCATAAGCTCTCATCCTGCTGCTTTTATAATACTTCTGATCTGTATTTGTATACACAAAGTGATAGTCCGCTAATGTCCGTTCCTTGGAGGTTCCAGATGTCTTGACTGTCTATAATAGGCCAAGTTAGAAAGCATTACCGCATAAAACGGTATTGCTTTATTATGCTAACCTAACCTAGACTGGCAATCATTTTGTCAAAGGATCCAACAAGAATTAGCAGCCATGCAGAATTTTTCCTAAACGCACTAGGAGCCTGAAAAGGGGAATCCGATTCCCTATTACCAAAACAGGTTCTTACTTAGACACTTTGACTAGGTTTATTATTATTTATTTGTATTTTTGCTTTCATTGAGTAAACATTTTTGCTGTCTCTGCATTTTTGTAGCTGTGAAAACCAAGATGGTATACTGCAAGATCGACCAGGCGCAGAAAAAAGTTGTTGTAAGGTAATGTATTCCTTTCTCCTCTATAGTTTGCAGTCTAGTGTGTTTTAATTATTTCTCGTAATATATCTGTTTAATATTTTAGATTGTTCCCATCATGTGCTAGTAGTTAAATGCCGGCTATTTATCATAATTTTATTAAGGCCGAATGTGATTAGCTTATTTAATGAAAGTGTCCTATTTTCCAGCACATTTCACTTAATGACCGTGACAGTGGCCTGAATGCTAATTAGCTACACGTCTTGCTATAGTGGCTTCATAAAATGGGAATTGCGCCGAGAAATCCTCTGTGCAAAATAACATTGTCTGAATCACCGAGGACAAAACTTGGCGGTGTTGTAAGAGTTTGTCTTTTTTTTTATCCTTTGCAGTTACAGCTCACACAGGACCTTCGGAAAGCAGCAGTGGCAACAATTGTACGACATTCTCAACACCTGGAAAATCAACGTAACTAAAGTGAAGAACAGTCTACATAGTATCTCTGAGGCTTGAGCATTTTAGCCTTTTCTCCTAACCATGCTGAGTATTTCCACAGCTCTGGACTTTAGAGGCCAATTCCAACCCCCCAATACGGATATATTAGTTAAATGTGATCACTGGCAAGTTAAATCGTATGCTAACTTTTTATTCCCTTATAAAATTCCAGTGCTTGGATCTCCATACCCAGCTGCCCCCATCATTGCAAGTGCTTTAGCTGGCATCAGCAGTGAGAGGGCCTAGGTTATGGCTGGGAAGGAATGTAAAAAAGCAAGTGTGTGAACTTCACCACTTCGTAGTACAAGGGGACAATTTAACCTACCAGTGCTTATCTGAAATTGAGATGTATACGTAGAGTTGGCCTTTAATGTCCATCGGCTGTGTCTGCATTGGCTATCCTCCTCTGATCTGTTTTAAATTATGGAACATACATTCTTTAAGGGAAAACATTCAATACTTTTGTAATCCCCATTGCCCATAGGTGTGTGAGATAGGACACTGGGTTCTATCAGAGATCTATCTCCAGTACTGTGACACTGCTCCTGGGTCAGGCTCTCTGTTACATTTAGTACTGATTACACTCGGCTTTTAGTTTGTGCTAGGTCTAAGAAGCTTGAATCCTTGGGGCAGTTCCACAAATTCCTACATTACACGGAATTGTATCTTCTCCTATACAAAAGCCAGACAAAATTCATTTGTAAGCGACCTGATATAAAATCTGAACAAAACATCTTACTTTGTCCTTTTTATTTTTTGGTCTGTTTTTTTTTTATTCTGAACAACCCAGAGGTGCACTAGATCTTCGGATTGCAGGTCATTTTGGTTTCAAAGTAATAATAAAACGGATATCTCTAAATGCTCATTTGAAATTAGTTTATTTGTCACAAAATAAAAGAAGCCTCAGCTTAAAGTGACCCTAAACTCAGGAGTTGAATCTTAAAAATACATTCAAGTAACTTTAAAATACATTTTTGTTATTTGTGTATCACGTGACTGTAGATCCTCAAATCAAATCATCTCTGAATTGGTCCTGACACTGTCCTTCCTTCTAGAGGGGGAGCTACTTTTCTTCCCCATGGTCCCTGTGTGTGTTGTAAAGTAGACGCCGCTCCAAGCTCGCTCCCTTGATGGACTACAAGCTCAATACAAATTGGTAAACTAAAGATGAGATTGTAGTCCATCACAGGAGCGAGCTTGGAGCGGTGACTACTTTACAACACACAGGGACCATGGGGAACAAAAGTAGCCACCCTCCAGAAGGAAGGACAGTGTCAGCACAACAAAACAGCCCATATAAATCTTTCATAAATAAGCCAGAACAGATCTAGTTTGTGTCCCGCCAAAGAAACAAAGGTGAGTGCCGCATTTCAGTTGTTTCTTGCACTAATGTACCTGCACATACAAACTGATATCAGGATAAAGAAAGCTGAAAACGGCTGGCATGGTTAAAAGGACTTGTAAAGCCCTAATGATTTGGTTGCCAGTAGATGATTTAATAATTTGATTTGCTTTAAGGAAAGATGTCAGTTTACTCTGGAAATCATCATGAGGTGCTGTCTGTGCTTATCTACAAATAAATAAAATCCAACCGCCTCCCCACCCATGCTCATTATTCTCCTTCATTTACTTCATCCCTTCTCATTCCCCCTCACAATCCCTTTCAAGAACCTATGGTAACGTTTCAAAACCTTTATAAAGGGATCAGTACGACTAACAAACATAAAATGTAATTTTATGACTTGAATGGAACACTTTGGAGCATATTTAATAAAACAATCAATGTGATGTTCGCAGGTGTTTAATAATTTCCTCTAATTGAAAACAAATGCCCCAGGAAGATTCACCTTTAGTGAATAAATATATGTAAACTTATGCGGTTATAAATTGCTACATCCTGTTTTAATGTGAATGCATATTGTAACCTTTTGTTAAAATGACACTAAACTTGGGGGTTAAATCTTGAAAATTAACTCAAATACCTTTTAACGAATAGGACACTGGCTACTTTTGTTCCCCCATGTTCCTTGTGTGTGTTGTAAAGTTGGCAGCACTCCAAGCTCGCTCCCGTGGTGGACTACAATCTCAATACAAATGAGTAAACATAAGATTGTAGTCCATCACTGGAGCGGTGTCTACATTACAACACACACACAGGGACCATGGGGAACAACAGTAGCCACTCTCCAGAAGGTAGGACAGTGCCGGCATCAATTCAGAGATGATTGGAGGATCTACAGCCGCGTGATACACAAATAAGATACATTGTTGTTCATAGTAAGGTACTTGAATGTGTTTTTAAATTTAACTTCTGAGTTTAGTGCCACTTTAAGTAATTAAAAGCAAATAAAAAGCACCCTAGCATGAACACATCAGGTGCTAGGTTATATGTTGCCTCCATTTTCTATTGCTACATCTGGGGCCACACCTTCAGAAGTGGTATTTTCTTTACCCTCATTGGTTTCTTCACAATCTTCCAGTTTTCTCTTCTTTGATCTATGCAGTTTACGGTATTGTAAAAACTTCTCAATAGCAGTTATCTGATGCTGTATGGTGGAGCGTGAGCCGTTCTCCACCTTGCCTTGACTTATGTTTAGGCCTGTACAAAGGGTTGCAGACGAGTTGTTGGAGCGGCAGGTTTGGCTTTCGATCACGTTAAACTAAACAGAAAAGAGGAAATGGCTTGAAAACAGCCTACGTTTAGTTATTTTAGGTCAATAACCATTTTCTCTCCATTACCATTATAAACAAATACACAGTGCTATGGATCATTGCCTCTGTGATGTATAAGGAGGCTCCATATTTCCAGTGAAGAAATGTTCAGTAGCTTATTTAGCGTGTCAAGACATAAAGTGACTTTGAATATACTTCATGGCTGCCCCGTGAAAATTTCAGTAAACACACCACCGTATTTTCACAAAACCAAGTAGATAATCAATGAATAAGACACAGTCTAGTGCACACGTGTCAAATACTAGGCCTGCGGGCCAACTCTGGCCCACCAGACCAGTTAATGTGGCCCTTGCACCTCTACTGCAGCTTTAAATTTGTAAACTGAAGCCAGTGCTGTAAACGGGCCGGGCATCACAGGACGGCTGCCCACGTCCCCAGCAAGGTCCGGGCAGCCTTCCTGTGAATCACAGTACCTGTTTACAGTGCTGCCAGCAAATCTTCCTGCGGATCCGCACCAACCGGGACCCCTAGTGTGACTGCACAGCCCAGGATGGACCCCACACAACCACCTGAGAAGCCTGCACAGCCCACCTGAGAGTCTGCACAGCTCAACACAACCTGCACAGCCACCTGAGAGTCTGCACATCTCACCACAGACCCCTCATAGCCACCTGAGAGTCCGCACAGCCCGCCATAGAACCTGCACAGCCACCTGAGAGTCGGCACTATTACACTAATTGACATTATTATTCCTAGACGTCTACTTTCAGAGCTGGTTTTTAAGTTATTACTAAAACCAGTAATAATTTAATGCAGAGGCAATTATTTAATATGATGAAGAGTTCATTCATTCATATAGTCTTCACAGATACATCCGGCCCTTTGAGGGCAACAATAATGCTAATGCTGGCCGCAATAAAATTGAGTTTGACACCCCTGTTCTAGCAGCTTCTGAAGATTGGATGGTACAGGAGCAACAATGTTGGTGCTTAATACTATATACAGTAATTTATGCTAAATATACATGCCAGCTTGATTGCAGCTACCCAACTCATCTAACGTTTCCAACAATAGAGACCTGTAAACCTGTGATAATGTTTCTTTAGGTGCCTGCTTTAAATACTGCCATATACAACTTTGCCAGTTAGATAAATGACACCATGGTGCCCTGGCCATCATACATTAAACCTGTCGTAGGCTTGTAGCATCCAGCTGCTTGTACAATTGCACATTGCTATGAGGTTAGATCAGTCAAGGTGCAGTGACTGATGATTTGTAATAGACTTACGTCTTCTGTGGGAAAAGGGGAATTGTGAAACGTCTGAACTATTGCATTCCATTCTGCACTGTGATCCTTCCTGGGAACTGGATGGACATTCATAGACAAGTTGTCAAATGCCAGCCTCTTAATTGATGTACCTGATGAATAATGGATATGAAAAGTTAGATTGTGTGGTCAACAGATGTACTGAAGGAGCTCAGATTAAAAGTGAACTTTTTTTATGTTCTCAAATGCTATTCTGAACATGGCACGGATTTTGGTTATATAAGGGGACAAAGTTTTGCAGTTAAGGGAGCATGTATGCATATTAACTAATCACCTAATCATTTAAGGAAATATAACATTCAAATAAACCCTTAAAGTATGCACAGAACTTTTTTTTTTTATCTCCTTCTAGAAAGCGCTCGCTGAACCCGGGCCCTCTTTGGAAGATTTACTCTCACCTCTTGTTATGGTGAAATATTGGATTCTTTATCACTTTCTGTCTCTGTGATGATGGTCAACATGACCAATAGAGAGGGTAAATCTCCCCAGCAGGTACCCATAAAGCAAATAAATCGTGACGGTTTCTAACCCTTCCACACACTACCCAAAACGACAAAATATTATGGTTATACATCACATCAATGCATATGATGTAACACACATTTATCCAGGGGTATGGTCATTGTGCCACAACCATTTTCTAACTTTGTATAAAGATGTCATCAGCACACCAGCACGACCGAGTCCAAGTCAGTGCAAATCCATTTATTGATAGATGTCTTTCAACATATAAAGCGCTTTATGGGCCGCACAGGGTCCCCTTCATTAGGCTCAGAGTAGACACTGTATCGAGTACAAGTACCAATATTTTTTTTTTCGGTGCGCCTCGAATACCGATACTGGAATTCCCATTAAGAAAGCCGGGCAGCGTGTAATGACTCGCCGCCCAGCTTTCACCAGGTGACGAGGAAGAATGGAGCCGCAAATCAGGAAACCGGAGTGCGAGTAATATCTCGCTGGCCAGCTTCCTGATTGGCCAGCTTCCCGACCAATCAGGAAGCCAAGCAGCAAGTAATTACATGCTGCCTGGCTTCCTAATTGGCTGGGAAGCCGGCTCCATGCTTCCTCGTCTCTTGAGGATGGAGCCGGCTTCCTGGTCAATCAGAAAGCTGGGTGATGAGTCATTACCTGCCCCCAGCTTCCTGATTGTCCGGGAAGCTGGCTCCATGCTCCCTGGTGACCAGGGAGCATGGAGCTGGCTCCCTGGCCAATCAGAAAGCTGGGCAGCCGGTAAAAACTCTCCACCCGGCCGGTACAAGTACTCACCCAAATACTTGGTATCGGTGCATCTCTAATCCCGACAATATTGTTGGAATCCACCCCGCTGCCTGATTCACAACAGGCTCTGCCCACCCCCTCCCCTGTCTGTCCCTCCAGTCAGCACTGGAACAAAGAGGGGGAGGAACCCTGCGGGAAGAAGTTACTGACAATCACTGCCCTCTGCAGTGGATAGCTGTGAGTTGAGTGATCAGCGGTTTGTGATCGTTCAGTTCTCATGCTATAGAGTCGGCGTGTGACAACTGCAGTGTCACACGCCAGCTCAAACTATTGGGAAGAATATTTTTACTCTCCAGATCTCCTGTAATATAATGCTTTAAATAAGCTATGAGTTAATGCACTCCAAATATAGAACTTAAAAGACATGGGGGGCTATTTAAATAAAAGACCACAGACTTGTTGAATTTCTAATTGGTCATCAGGACTTGTCTTTATAATTTCTGCATATTAGATTTCACTAAAGGTTAATTATGAAGGGCATAGGATGGATAATGGAATAGAAGAATTGAAGCAGAAAGTATTGTAATAACTGTAGTGTATAAGTAAAATATGTTTGTTTCCATGGCATTGTTGAGAAATGTCCTGACATAGCCACCATAGTGAATGTATATCAATGTATTTGAACAGACAACAGTAGTCACTTTAATATAGGTCAGTTTTATAGAGATACAGTACTGCTTACGCATCTTACCTTTGGTGTACATATCTCGGCTCAATGAATATGGCAGTGTACAGTTACTTAACTTGCTGAAGGATTTACTTGAAGATTGACTATTCCAGGAGTTGGTTCTGGATAAACCAAGTAGTTTTTCTGAGCTGTCAAACATGTTGGTTATCCTTTCTCTTTGTAAGTTTGTGTTGGCCGTTTCTGTGGAAGAACCAACATCTTTCTTGGAAAGCTCAGGTACAGTTTGTCCGCTACTTTCTTCAAGTGTGAAATTACCAGGCACGTTATTTCCCTCAATAATATTTTCTTTTTCCACACTCATTGGTTCAGCGCTCTCCTCTGTTATCTGATAAATATTGACACTATGTTCATCAGCAAGCAATCCTCTAAAATGTATATCACTTGTGTTTGATCCACTAAGCTTTTCATCTTCATCTCTCACTTGGGGACACATTCCTCTCCCATCTATGTTAACACTTGAGGCATCTGCATTCTCCAGGTTTGTCTGAGAACCCCGGAAGTCCTGCATATGATCTGAAGCAGACAGCAAATGCATATTTTTTACTGGTACCTCACAGCTGTCCAAAACAATGCTTGGAAATGGGCATGAAAGCTGCTCCTGGCCTACCCTGCTCTTGTTTTCTGCTGTTGTGACACAGCCGGGCCTTCTTATGTCCTCACAGTTTTTGCTAGCACCTTCTACAAGTACTTGGTTATCGTTCTCTGTTTGCATACAAAGAGCAGAATCTGCACAAAACCTAGTGTTGTTTGCTTTTACCACCTGCATTGGTTCCACTGTAGGCTGTTTATTTTCATTATTGAGGCAAGAAGTCATGCTTGACTCTAATGTGCCACAGTCCAACACTGAAGAAGAATAGTTATTTTCATCCCAGGTTATGCAGCCTGTGCTGTCTCCATATGCAAGGTCCCCTCTATATGCAATCTGCCCATTTATTAATTGTTCTGTAGTCTCAGGAAACAGTTGGGATTCCTTTGCATGTGTCTCATTTATTAAGACACCTTGCTTGTTCTCTGTAGTGTCTGTCTTATCTATTACAATATAAACTACTTCACTTGTACCATCTCCAGATTTACGATGGCTGCAGTCTGTCTGCTGGTTTGCATCTTGGCTGTAGACAGTCAGTGGTTTATTATTGTCTCGGTCTAACATGACAGATTCCATTATTGCTTGTGTCTGCAGAGAGCGGCTGCATTTAGCTGCACTCTCTCCATCTTCATCAGGATCCTGCAGGTCGGCTCTGTCAGCTGGGATCTCCTCAGTAGATTCCCCATGGCAGCACTCTTTTAGGTCTGCAAACTTGGCTTTGTTCTCTTTAACGTTGCTGTCGCTTCTCTGTTCTTTGCAGAAATGTGCCTTATCTGTTCTGTTATAAACATTTGGAAGACTGCTCCTATCTGTATTAAAACACAAATGTATTTAAGAAACATTAAAGCAGCACTAAGGTTGTGGTATATGTCACGCTCTTGAAGACAGTAACCATTTGTAAAGATGATTTGTTATGACAAAGTTACAGGGGAACGCCAGTCTATATAACTGTCAATGATACACTTACAAAACATCGGGCCGATTAGATGCGGCCATTCTCTTTCTGATTACAGAAGAACAAAACCCAGTCCCTATGTCTCTATATATTTACAGTATGTCATATAACCGTAACATGGTGACGTCATTTCAGAAGTTGTTAATGTTTTTAAATCTGCAGCTTTTTGTAAAATAATACCTGGTGATCCTACCGTGAAGATCCTTATTCAGGTACTTCTTTATTTGGGGTGATAACTGTTGTGCTCATGATTGTCGCCCTGTCTCATTCATGCCTAGTAAAGACTACAATCAGCCATGCCAACATTAATTGTCCCCCGCCTGTCCCTATCAGGAAACTGATGCAGGGCAATGATGTGCAACAATGCTTCAATGAGTTGTATGTAGACAGGAAGTGACTGAAAGAGGCTGAAGGAGGTCAGCAGCTCTGACATGCAAAAATGATTTTACAAAAATGTGTAAACCCTATTTTATGGGAAAAAACAGCAGTTGTTCATATTACATAGAGCTTCAGCAAACGTAAAGTAGTATTAAAGTCACATTTGTTTTTACATATATTTACTGCAAGCAATAGATATATGCAAAAACATTAAAAAAAGTTACCAAATAGGTAACTACTTACCTGAGTCTCCGCCGCTCGATCCTGTCTGAAGATCTGAAGCTTCTCGAGCTGCTGTGCAGGATGATGGACAGGCACATGTGCATTAGAGATCTTCAGCAGGGAGAAGAGGAGATGCACAGGGTAAGTCAATGAACGCAGCCGGGAGCGTGCACGTCGGACAGACACCATGAGACACATAAACACAGCAGTCAGCGCTGGATCAGAGACCGGCACCAGCGCTGAAGGGACTCCTGAAAACTACTGGAAAGAAAAAGATGATCGGAACAAGAGGCATCATTTAAGGTAAGTCCTGAAAGTAGCATTGAGGGGGAAGTGAAAAAAATTGTGACATTAAAGGATAGTTCCCCCCCAATACAAGTGTAAGGACTTACCTTAAATGATGCCTCTTGACCCGATCATCTTCTTTACTGTAGTTTTCAGGAGTCCCTCCAGCGCTGGTGCCGGTCTCAGATCCAGCGCTGACTATTCTCATCTTGGCACTTCCTGTCCGATCTTGGAACGAGAGCATGCGGTGGAGACACAGGCGAGTTTTAACCCGTTTGAAAAGTTGTTGTTTTTTTTAATGTTTTTGCATATATCTACAGCTTGTTAGGAGTAGATTTATGCAAAAACACAGGAGGCCTTAATAACCCTTTAATGTGACTTTAATGTCATTCAGTTAGGGTTTATATATACTGTAAAGTTTAACGCCACTCTGTGTTTTATTTTAACATCTGGGTCCCACTCCTCCTGCATTGAAGAAAACAGGTACCCAAGCTATGCCTACCCTCTCCAAGCTCCAGTACTGTCCATAGATTCCTCCTTAGTTGAGTGTCATCGATACTCTTCATGTAAAATGACAGTTGCGACATTCTGCTCATTTCCTGTGTGGCCGGCCTGTCCTTACACCATTGAACCCTGTCCCCCCCCCAAACATACACACTGCCGAAGAAGATAGAAGAAGCTCTAATGATGTCACAGAACCGGCTAGAAGACTGCAGAGAAGGTGTATATATAGGGAATTTTTTTTTAAATAAAAAAAATACCTGGGGTGGGGGAATTTAGCCACAGCTGGAGTTCAGCTGTAAGAGCTGAACATTGCTTGCAGTGAATGTTTAAAATCCCATTAGAGCAGCTAAAAGCAACTTATCAGGACGTAAGCACTTCACTATGGGAATCTCTTATCATACCTTGCTAGTGCTACCATGGTCCAGTTACTATAATTATTCTCTACTGAGCATTTCCAAACACAATTTAGCAGCTGCTCTGTCCCAAAGTAGACTTAAGTCATCAATTAAAAAAGAGAAACATTCAGCTAGGTAGAAGGATTCAAGTAAACCAGTCTTGAGAGAAGCATGAGGGATACCAATTTTTGACTTCCTTTCTAAAATGCAACTTACCTGGCTGTTCTGCTGACTGACTGGATAATGAGTTTCAGTTCACTGACCCAGAAAAAATATGCAGATAAGGAAAGTTGAAAAAAAGAGTCCTTAATTGAATATTTGTTCTGCGTCAGTGACTCAAAGTATTGCAGTGAGAGGGTCAGTATACAGAGAGGAACCTAGCACTAGAAGGAGAGATTAGCAATGGTGGCCGTTTTATCTAGAATAAAGACGACTTTTGCTTTACTATCTGTAAAAAATAAGTCAAGGCAACTGGACTTGCTGTATTTTTCTTGAAGACGTTTCACTGGTCAAGAAAAACACAGCAAGTCCAGTTGCCTTGACTTATTTTTTACAGCTATACCATGACCTGGATAAATGAGAATCTTCACATACATTTTGCTTTAATAGGTGATTCTTAAAAATACATACAAGCGAATGCTAGCGGCTGTCCTCAATACCAAAGAACATTATTTCTCTTTATACAAAAGTGTTGATGCTATATAAATACCAAAAATAATAATACATCTGCAAGGCAGACAATGGTGCAATCGCTATACTACTATTACCAGATACAATATATTAATGAAGAAGAAAAAGCTTTATTTAGTAATGTAATACACTCTTATGGATGATTTGCTGCGTCCCACCTTATTAATCAGATTCCAGCTTTCAACAATTTAGTGGAGTCAACCAGTAGCTACTCTTCTGATTGGTTAAACAGAAACAGGGAGGGAGAAGCGCTGCAAACCAAGTGGGAGAGCAGGGTGATGTTGTGGGAAGTGAGAGTTCAATATCCCACCAAACAACGCATGACAAATAAAGAACACACCGCCACCACCTCGACCTCCTCGCTATCTTCAATCAACAGGACAACAGAGGACCGACATCCCACCAAACAACGCAAAGCAAGTATAAGAATACACCGCCATCGCCTCGGATTCCTCGTCATCTTCAATCAACAGGACAACAGACGACTGACATCCCAGCAAACAACGCAAGGACCACAGACGACAGACATCCCACCAAACAACGCAAGGCAAGTAAAGAACACACCGCCACCGCCTCGGCCTCCACACTATCTTCAATCAACAGGACCACAGACGACAGACATCCCACCAAACAACGGGCCACAGCAAAGATCATTGGGAACACCGAAACCACCCACCTCCACTCCTTGCCGATGATATCGCAACACTCCTTACCTAAGGGTAAGTTACTACATTTGTTTTGAGTTATTTTTCACACAAATTTACTCATCTCCATATCACACATTTATGTTTTCTGGGTCATTCTGGAGAAATTGGATCCACCACTGAAGGTCGGGAATCACAACTCGCCCTCAATTTTCCCAGCCCTCACTTCCCACAACATCACCCTGCTCTCCCACTTGGTTTGCAGCGCTTCTCCCTCCCTGTTTCTGTTTGACTCACCTATCGGTCGGACACCCCGGTCCGTATGCTCCTGAAGCCGCTCAACTGAGCAAGTACATTCAGTATTATACTTCATAGAACCCCCCAGATCGAGCGCTGTATCTCGGTATGCTGTCCTTGTAACTTTCCATCTTCTGATTGGTTACTCTGGGTTACTGCATTTTACATTTATCATCATGAAGAAAGATGACCTGTGGTTGCCATGGGTTGATATTCAAAATTCTCTTGCACCAAGAGAACATGAGGACGGAGAATATGTCACTGCAAATATGTCTGTGAAGGTTCTCATTCACCCAGGTCATGGTATATCTGTAAAAAATAAATCAAAGCAACTGGACTTGTTGTCGTTGTTGAAGACGTTTTGCTGGTCATCTGACTTGCTTTCTGAATTGAGAAAGCTAGTTGGATGACCAGCGAAAAGTCTTCAAGGAAAAATACAGCAAGTCCAGTTGAATGGTCTAAGGCTTATTAAAAAAACAAGGTACCACATAGAGCAATGAGATGTGCAAAGTTCAATAAAAGTTCAATAATAGCAAGCACTCAGATAAATTCAAGATGATATTTGATTGGCTGCAATGGGATGGCAGAACATGCACACTTTAAATATCTGACAGGTGTAGAGCATTTAGTTCATCACATTAACTAACCTTTATACATAGATTGTGATGCACATTCATGTACTTCCGTATTCGGTACCGCCAACCTATCAGTGCTAGAATCATCTGGGTTTAGGTTTATTGCATTATCCGATGGATTGGTTTGCATGCTGTTTTCACATGAGACATGTTCTTGATCATCTTCCATAGATGCCATGATAATATTCACTTGCTGCTGCTCTTCAACCTTTCCAGAAACAACAAAGGAAAATAACTTGTCAGTTGAGAAAATGTGCCCACTCTTATGAGCATTAAGAAAAACGAAGGGTGGAAAATAATTGTAAAATCCACGAAGAGCCAGAAAGTCACTTTAAATAAAATAACTTGACCTAATGAGACCGGGAGGTGTTACCCACATCAACCAAGCCGACTGCACCTCTTTTCTACATGTTAAACAATTAAAACAAGAATTTTGACACCTAAACAAATCATTAAAACCAAACTCTAGGTAGATACAAAACACACAAATGAATGCATCCCTTTAATCATTTATACCTCAGTAAAGATATTTTTAATGCAACCAGTGCAAATACCTAAATTTGACTTGACATGAGCCTCTTGCAGTTCTTGTAAAGCAGGGCTGGTGTGTGAGAGGCAGAAGCAGTACATGAAGCCAACCAGTTCAAAAAGCGTACCAATTGGAGGAGAGAGCAGAGTGACATAGAGATAAGCTTATCACTGTGCTGCTTTTTATATCACTGTCCAGTCACAGGCTGGGGTGGATCCAGGATGACCTGAGCTCAGAGGAAGTGGGTGGCCATCAGACTAAGGATAAGCGGCAGAATAAAACTGTGGGGAATCTCTGAATTGAAGCACACATTTTTTTTCTGCTTTAATGGGCTTTGATTTATCTTGTTATTTTTGCTGGAGTTCTGCTTTATGGTTTGGTTTCACATCAAGTCTTTGAGTAAGAGTGCAGGTCACAAGCTTACATACAGATACAGACACATAGTAATGACAGGTTGTTATGTCATACCAATCTCCCTGTAATATAAATAAAATCAAGCCCATCCAAACCAAAACATTTTTTGTTTTGCACAGAATAGAGAATGGTTAAGATCCCTCTGGTTATTTGTTGTTGTTGTCTGGGTCCCTGTTAGGGAAATCACTCCCTCTATTTGTCCTTGTGATCAGCAAGACTGAGAGTGATGGGGAATCCAAAACATTACAGTTTTCACCAGAACAGGAAATCTTAAATCAGTGACTACTCTTCTAAAGGGGATTTCTCCTCTCTTTGGAGAGATTTCTTCTCACATTCTGTTGTGTTTTTGGTACAGGAAATTAAGGTAAATCTTGTCAATGAGACACAGTAATAAAAAAAAAAAAGTTTTAACTATTCCCTACTCTATCTAACACTATAAAGAGAACTTTTGGCTCAAGGCCTCATTCACAAGGATTCCTGTGGCAGAAATCCCAGGTATCCCCGTTGAAATTGAGTGGCAGTCCGCATGTAATCATACCATGTATAATTACATACAGTTCAAGATTGACAATTATTGCTGGATGTAGGATAGATGCGTCCAGGAACTCTTATCTATCCCAAACAGCATGTAATCATACCAGGTATGATTACATGCAGACTGCCGCTTACAGATGTGGCCGCTGTCACTCCGCCATTTACTTTAATGAGTACAGAGGCCGCAAGTGGATGCAGACACCTGAGATCCTTGCCGCAAGAATACATAGGTTCTTATCAGAAGAATGCCAGAACGCCTGGATGAGGCTTTTGATAAGGAATTAATAAAAAGATAGAGAAAAAAAAAGTTACGAATAATGATGGGTATATGCTTAAAGGAGAATTATTACTTAAGGGCAAATAAAAATACCCCTTACCTTGATTGTAGTAGCATTCTTCCTTTTTTTCTAAAGTCGCAGCACATCACAGATAAAATCCTCAAAACCTGTAATAAACGGCCATCTTCAGCCCTGCACCGAGCTCCTTTCCTCTTAGGGGGTGTTAACCGTTGATCCAGCCCGCTCACAGCTTTTCTTTTTCAAACTATCCCATTGCTGTGGCCGCGCTTCCTATCATCGTGCACAGCTGTGTTTTGTCAGCGCGTGCACGCTGGCATTTGTGAGCGGGAGGCGGAGTCCGAAGGGAAAAGGCAGCAGCAAGAGACTGTAAGTGCTCTTTTCCCTCTCTCATCAGCGATCCCCAGTAATTAGGATGTCAGCGCCACACAGGGGGAGAGAGAGAGGGGATAAAGAGCCATCCCTCTCTCCATCATTTACCAGAAATAGGCAAGTACATATATTGAGAATGATGACACTGGGTATC